CAATAGTTTTCTTTTTTTTTTTTTTTTGTAGTGTCATTGTCTGGCTTTGGTATAATGCTGGCCTCATAAAATGAGTTTGGAAGCATTCTTTCCTCTGAAAGTTTTTGAATAATTTGAGTATAGATAGTTCTTCTTTAAGTATTTGTTAGAATTCAACTGTGAAGCTATCTGGTACTAAACTTTTGGTTTGGGGAAGTTTTTAAATTACTGATTGAACTTCATTACTTGTAATCAGTCTGTTCAGATTTTTAATTTCTTCATGTTTCAATCTTGAAAGGTTGTGTGTGTCAAGGAATTTATTTCTTCTAGGTTTTCCAATTTATTGACAAATAATTGTAGTAATCTCTTATGATCTTTTGTATCTGTGGTGTTAGTTGTAACTTCTCTTCCATCTCTGATTTATTTTGGCCCTGAATTTTTTTTTTTTATTAGTCTTGCTAAAGGTTTATTGATTCTATTTATCTTTTCAAAGAACGTGTTTGGTCTGCTGATTTTTTTTTGTCTCTATTTCACTTATTTTCATTTTGATCACTATTATTTCCTTTCTTATACTAATTCAGCCTTGGTTTACTCTTTTTCTAGTTGTTTTAGGTATAAAGTTAGATTGTTTATTTGGGATTTTTCTTGTTTCTCGAGGTAATCCCATAACACTATGAATTTCCCTTTTAGAATTGCTTTTGCTGTATGCCATAGATTTAGGAAAGCTATGTTTCCATTTTCATTTGTGTCAGGGTATTTTTTAAATTTCCTCTTTGATTTCTTCATTGACCCATTGGTTGTTTAGTAACATGTTGTTTAGTGTCCACATGTTTGTGGGGGCTTTTTCCCCCATTTTTCTTCTTGTAATTGATTTCTAGTTTCATATTATGGTGATTAGAAAAGATTATTTTAATCTTAAATTCACTGAGACTTGTTTTGTGGTGTAACATGTGCTCTGTCCTGGAGAATGTCCCATGTACACTTGAGTAAAATGTGTCTTCTGCTGTCTGGTGATGGGATATTCTGTATATATCTATTAAGTCTATCTGGTCTAATACATCATTTAAGGCCAATATCTTCTTCTTGATTCTGTCCAGATGATCTATCCAGTGATGTAAGTGGGATGTTAAAAGACCCTACTATTATTGTATTACTGTAAATTTCTCCCTTTATATCTGTTAACATTTGGGTTTCATATGTAGGTGTTCCTATGTTGGGTGCATAAACATATACAAATGCTATATCCTCTTCTTGGATTGACCCCTTTATCATTATGTAATGCCCTTCTTTGTCTTTTGTTAGGTTTTTGTTTTAAATTCTGTTTTGTCAGATAGAAATATTACTACACTAGCTTTCTTTCCATTTCCCTTTGTATGGAATCCTTTTCCATCTCTTCACTTTGAGTCTGTGTGTGTCTTTAGGTCTGAAGTGAGTAGGCAGCATATATATTTAAAAAATTTTGTATACATTGTGCTACTTCATACCTTTTGATTGAAGCACTTAGTCCATTTACATTTAAAGTAGTATTAGAAGGTATATACTTACTGCCATTTTGTTAATTGTTTTCTGGTTGTTTTTGTAGTTCTTCTTTCAGTCTCTTCCTTTGGGATTTAATAGTATTTTTTAGTGTTATGTTTGGGTTCCTTTCTCTTTATTGTTTGTGTATCTATTGTAGGTTTTTGGCTTGTGGTTACCATGAAGATCATATACAGTAGCTTACATATGTAGCAATCTGTCTTAAGCTGATGGTTGCTTAAGAAAGCATTAAAATGCATTTTAATGCCCCCATTTTTAGTCCCCACTCTGTGCTTTGTTTTTGATGTCTTATTTTACTTCATTTTGTTTATCCCTTAACTACTTATTGTAGTTAGAGTTGGTTTTACTTTTTGTCTTATAACTTTTATAGTAACTTTTCAAGTGGCCGATTTGCTGCTTTTACTATATATTTGGTTTTACCATTGAGATTTTTTTCTTTCCTATATTTTCTAATTTCTAGTTACATCCTTTTCTATTTAAAGAAAACACTAACATTTCTTGTAAGGCTAGTTTAGTAATGATTAACTATTTTAGCTTTTGTTTTTCTAGGAAACTCTTTACTGCACCTTAAATTCTGAATGATAACCTTGTCAGGTAGTGTGTTCTCAGTTGTAAGGTTTCCCTTTCAGCACTTTGAATGTGGTATGCCACTCCATTCGGGCCTGCAACGTTTCTGCTGAAAAATCAACTAGTAGTCTTATGAGGTTTCCCTTGTATTTTATTATAATATGTCTTGGTTTGGATCTCTTTGGATTCTTCTTGTTTGGGATTGTGCTTTCTGGATCCAGATGTCTGTTTCCTTCCCCAGGTTAGCAAACTTTTCACCCATTATTTCTTCAAAAAAGTTTTTAACCCCTTTATCTCTTTATTCTTCTGCTGGGATAAATATAATGCAAATGTTAATATGCTAGATGTTGTATCCCAGAGGTCTCAAACTATTCTCATTTTTTAATTCTTTTTTCTTTTTGGTCTTCGGATTAGGTAATTTCCACTATTCTCTCTTCCAGATTATTGACCTGTTCTGTGTCATCTAATCTGTGGTTGATTCCCTCTGGTGTATTTTTTAGTCCAGCTATTATAATCTCCAATTTTGTGACTTCTGTTTGGTACTTTCTTACATTTTCTAATTCTTTGTTGAAGTTTTCACTCTATTCTTACATTCTTCTCTGGAGTTGTATGTTATATGAGCTTCTTTATGACCATTACTTTGAACTCTTTATCAGGTAAATTACTTATCTCTGTTTTATTACGGGTTTTTGGGGGGAGGGGTAGTATCTTGTTCTTTTGTTCGTAACATATTCCTCTTCTCATTTTTTTTTTTTTTTAACTTTCTGTGTTTGTATCTGTAAATTATGGAGAACACCTACCTCTCCCAATCATGAGTCACCTTGCATTGGAGCATCCCCTTTGTAGACTACATGTGCCTGGTGGCTTTGGCTGACCAGCTGGAGCTGAATAAGGTGCAGCCTGGAGGGTTCCGGAGTGTGCTACACCAAGGCCACCCTGGCAGGACAGCTAGAGCTGGAAATGGACCACAAAGTCACAGGATGCTGTGAACCAGATCCGCCTTTGGCAGGATAGTTGGAACTGGAGCATTCATGGGCTGGGGTTCTCAGAAAGATCATCTCCTCTATAAGGCTGTCCTGGAGGGATGGCTGGAACTGAAGTAGAAGTGTGCACTCTCTGCTTGCCACCCTGGAAGGATGGCTGGAGTGATGCAGGCCTGATGGGGTCCTGAGGTGCTGTGTACTTGGGTTGCCTAGCAGGATGGCTGGGTTGGGCACAGACCAGGGGAGACCAGGAGCACACACTGAGACCACCTTGGTAGAATGGCTGCAGTTGATGTAGGCTTGGGGCCTGGGGCTTGCTGAGTGCCTGGACCCTGCTCCCATCTACACTATCAAGGTCAAGGGTTATATAAACAGTGGTGCCTGGTGGCACCTCAGACTCCAAAGAGAGTTCAAAGAGTCCTCACACTTTGGCAGATGCTCTAGAGTTAGTAAATGGCTTTCCTTCACTTACAGTGTAGTTGCCCTTTAAATAAATGGCTGTTTCTTTGCTGTGTCCTAAGGCAGGTGAGTCTATATACAGGCCCCTCAGTGATATCTGTCCCTAGTGCAGATCATCACATCAGGGGTAGGGTTCCCATCATTACTATGTCTCCCTCTGTCCTGTTCTTCTCTAGGCGGTCCCTCTATCATTGGTTGTGCAAAAGCCATTCAATCAGCAGTTTTTCTTCAGAAGGAATTGCTCTATATTGAGTTGTAGAGTCTGTGTGTCCATGGGAGGAGGTGAGTTCTGGGACTTCTTAAGATGAAAGGACCATCTCCTTTTGCCCAACTTAAAAATGTTAGCAGTGAGATTTTTCATCAGTGTATTGGTACATTATAAGATCATGGCAAAGAGTGCAAGTCCTAAACCCTGATAAAGTAGGTCAGATGTTAGCCAGATTCTAGGGCTAGCCAATTTCCCTGACACCCTAAGACACAGGATTAGTATAGATTATCCCAAAAGCTCTCAAGGAAAAGTAAATCTACAGTTTCTGATATTTTTTTCATGATTCCTCATAATTTCTAGTAGTAACTACTTGTGTGAGTTTGGGCAAGTTTAATTTTATTGGTCCTAAATTCTATAAAATGGGAATATTCATAAAGACCTAACAGGGAGAGAAGAAAAACATTTGTGTGTATAAGGGTAGATCACTTGGGGGGGGTCTTCATTAAGTGTTTGTTGAATGAGTAGAGGAGTTCCCCATGTATATAGTTGAGGTCCATATGGTTTAGAGCAACAAATCTGGATCTGAGGGAAAGCTATAAAATCTAGGAGGTTGCTGGTTCCTTTGGAGAGGCCCAGGCTAAGTCCACAGCCCTTGCTGGGCAGCGTCAGGTTTTAAGATAAAAGAATTGAAAGTCTTCAGGTGTTGAGATCACAAGTACCACACTTAGTGGGCTTAATGCTGACATGACTAATGTCCTCACAACACCCTTGGTATCTTTGCTTTAAATTCTGGAATACATAGAAAACTGTCTTATCTACTTCCCTCCAGGAAAGGTATAGGAATGGTAACATTAAAATGCTTCTGCAGTGCAAGCTCCATTTTAGGACTAACTTTTGAACTTGATAAAAAGTATACTTTGAAGCAATAATGGATGAAGTGGCAGTTGTGATACCCGCTATTTTCCCTAATGGACCACTTACTCCCCCAAAGTAGTTTACACCCTAGAAATGTACCTCAAGGTGAAGCAGTGTCATTTTAACTTGATCTTTTTTGGCGTACTAGACCAGATGTATGGGCAAAAGATGGAGACATTCTTTCAAATACCATAAAATTGGTTTTTTTTAACCCTCTCCTCTTACAATGGGGGGGGGGGTTCTATAGTAAAGGCAGCTGAGTATATAAAGCATCATGCATGGTCCTCAACTTAAATCTCCCTAGATTTTAAATTATCTTTAATGCTACATGTTGAAGTCTTAAGTTTGCCATACAGTTCACATGCCCAAAATTAAGTATAATTTTTATTTTTCACATTTGCATTTAAAATTTGCAAGCCTAGGGTATTAACATGAAGTCTTAAGGCAATAAAATAATCACAAAAACTTATGTGCCATCAGCAGAATGAATTTTTTACTTACTAATAGGACAATAATAATTCTAGTAAGCATCCCGTCAAATTCAAACAAAGTTAGCCAACAAATCGATGTCCCCTATTTCCATTCCTTTTGCAAGACTAAAATCAAGTAGATGTAATTGTTACTGCTATAAATGTTATAGTAATATTCTCTCCCCCCCCCAATTGTGAAAGGACAGGGATAATTAACAGTGCAGAAAGGATGTTTTTGGCATTTCTTAATATATAAAATCCTATATTACAGTAGTATGTGTTTTAATGACATTATATTTAAAATCTGGGTCAGTCACTTTTCATCTGTAATATATTTCTGCATAACAGCATTTGAGAATATGTGGACACACGTCTGCTGCAAAATCATTAAACCAAGAAAAAAATGGCTCAGATTTTACTTACATTTAAAGAAATAAAACAACTAACAAATGAGAGAACAGCTAAGAATAAATCATTTACAGCCTAAAAATTCAACATTTCAAACAAAATATTTTAATACATTTGACACAAACTGGGTCTTAGAAATCACCCTTGATCTAACAGACTGTTTTATATTTTAAGTGATTTACCTTTATGACTACACGTAAGCCATAAAAATCTCAACAGGTTTTATTTCTTTTGTGAATATGTCATGATCAAGCTTCAGTTATAAAATATTAGAGTTGAGATATGCTTCCTTAGCACTCAGTAAAATGGTGCACAGAAGTTAAAATGTTATTTTATTTCTGCTAACCTGACAATAGAACTTAAAATGCAAAAATTTAAATCCTTCTAAAGCAAAAATACAAATACACACACAATAACCCCGATAAGTCTATTCATCGAGATTTATAAAATGAATTTTCTTCACCAGTTAATCAGAGTTCATTAATCTATATCTGCAAATATGTTTTGCCAAAATGTTTTGGTACTGAGATCCCTTTCAAACCACTTTAATGCAAGGGCTAAAGGAAACGTTCAAAAGAGGAACAGAATAAGGACCCTGTGAACCCATCCGTGTTCCTTTGTGAAGGCAGAAAGACATGGAAGGCCCAGTGGAGATCCATTTTGAAGTCTCTGCTTTGTTCCTCCAGGGTTTCTTGGAGGTATGTTCCTCGGGATCCAGAGAGGATGTGAATTGTGTGGCAGCCCATGGCTATAATTCAATGTAATAAAATCATGAAACGGAGAGGGCTGAAACAGTTAAGTAAATGACACTCCTTATAGCACACACATGCGAATGTGATGTTGCTGAAATCCGAGACAATTTCCCCCAAACCAGCCAGGACAGTAATCCAATTAAGAGACCTCTGCATCCTGTCGCTCCTCCAGGATTAAGCATACCTCTCTTCACTACCGTGTTACCTAAAACAAATTAAATAAGTGAGAATTCAGTATCTCATCCCCACTGAAGACAGTCCTTTCTGCTACCAGACCCAGAAGTCCCTGTCTCAACCAAATCAACTGTTCAAATCAAATTCTTCTTCACAGTTCTTGCTTCCAGGTTGCATAGAAAACATGCACAAAGACTTCCACAACATGGTATTATGTACCTTAGCTTGGTATTTTGTTGAGTTATAAAAAACCCATCAGATTAAGTACATTCATTGCCCACAGAGTTAATGTATGCCTGCTGAGCATGCTTTCTTGAAGGCACTACATTTTTTTTCAAATGAATACCAATTAAGATCAGTGTATGTCAATCTGAAAATGTAGTTAACTTTTATTTACTTGAGAGAGAGAGAGTGAGAGAGAGCACAAGCAGGGGGAGAGGGAGAAGAAGGTTCCCCGCTGAGCAGGGAGCCCAAGGTGGGACCCAGGGATCATGACCTGAGCCAAAGGCAGCCACTTAACCAACTGAGTCACCCAGGCATCCCCCCCTTTTTTAATGTAGTTAACTTTTATTCTTAAAAATAAGTTATTATGGGGCACCTGGGTGTCTCAGTCGGTTGAGCATCTGACTCTTGATTTCGGCTCTGGTGGTGATCTCAGGAAGATTGAGCCCCAGGTCAGGCTCTGCACTCAGCGGGGAATCTGCTTGAGATTCTCTTTCCCACTCCTTCTTCCCCGCCCCGACTCACTCTCTCTCTCGTTGCATGCTCTCTCAAATAAATAAATCCTTAATAAAAGAAAGAAATAGGTTCTTTTAGAAAACTGCCATAATTACTAGAAACAGACATTCATTAAAAGTGTACTGTTGTTTTCTCTATTTTTAAATACTTATAAGAAAAAAGATTAACAGTTTCTTGAGTTTTATTTGGTCAGGTAAGGTATTTTACAGGTTAGATAATCCATACACAAGCTAGAGGGGGGGAAAAACCCCAAAAGCTTGAGACTTTAACAGGCCTACAGTGTGAAAAAGTCATCACTCCTGGCCTTTAGACCCAATCAAGTATTTATTCAAACCTCAGATTTGCTATTAATTGACATATAGCCTTTATTTTAGATATTCTACAATACAGTTGCCCTTTTGTTTGTGAGGGAAATACTATAGCAAACAGAACAAAAACCCTGTCCTCGTGGAGTTTATAGAACAAGTATGCTAGCCTTATTCTAGGTAAAGGACCAGACAGAAGTTTGTTCAACATCGTACACCATACAGTTACTGCCACTACTACTTAACTCAGCCTTTATAGCACAAAAGGAGCATAGACAATTCAGCACGTAAACTAATGGACATTGTTTTATTCCAGTAAAACTCTAGTTGTAGACACTGAAATTGGGACTTCGTGTAATTTTCATGTTATGAAACACTTTTTTCCTTTTGATTGCTCCCAACCCTTTAAAACCATATCGCCCAGTCTTAGCTCACAGACCACAAAATATAGGCCAAGGGCTGAGTGTGGCTTGCAGGCCACAGCTTGGTGACTCCTACTGTAGAGGAAATAGTTGGACCAACAGGCAAAGGAACGACATGTCAGCAAGTGATAGGTGCTATGGACAAAAAGATACTAGGGCCAAGAGGGTAGGGCTCTATGGATTTCTAGAGGTTGTCATATGAGGAGCTGCTTGAAGGAGACAAGGGAGCCCTGACTACCCAGGAGAAGAACTTTGGCCTTTTTCCACCTGGGGCACAAAGAGGAGACCAGGGATGCATGGCCAGACTGCCAACTTAAAGGGATCACATTGGTAGAAGAGATGAAAGGTGAGGCCAACGGGACTTGTGAAAATGAGGACAATGGATGTGAGAGAATGAGGATTCAAGCAAAGTCTTGATTTCAAATTTTGTAGGTTGGGGAGAACTATCACTGCTTTAGCTTCTTCAGCTGCTAAATGTTAAATTAGCACCTGCTCCCTTCAGTTGTACTGAAGAGTGAGTGAGATGTGAATGGCATGGCCCAGGGCTTGGCATGTGGTTGACACTCAGGAAAGCGTGGCTCTTATCCCGTTAGCTCCTCATGGATCTGCCATGCATCCACGCATATAAGTTAACAGTGTTCACAGCCAGGTAGCAACCTATATCTAGGATGTAATTCTCAACAGCCTCTTATTTAAGGAAGCTTTGCATGCCCAGCTCGTTTTGGAGTTGATCTCTATTAAAGTTGAATGGTAAGATTCTTTACGATTTATTCTCCTGTCAAATTTTCATTTTGCTAACTGTATATGGAAGGTCGTTGTTGCTTTGGAATTTGGTGGACATAAGGTTGCTAATTACCAATACTAGCTCCACTCTCACGTGACAGGGTACTCTGAGTATTTCAAGCTCTGGCCCTAGGGATCAAGAAAGACAAGACTATAGGTAAAGGATCGGTCTCAGTTGGACCTTAAAAGACAAGTAGAATTTTATAAAAGGGAACAGATGAAGAAGGCAGCAGTGGGATATGGAAATACATGGTCTATTGGGTGAGTCATATTGATGGCTCATCTCAAGGTGCTTATACTCTATTTTCTGTTACCCATGGGAATCCATTGGTGGTCTCTCACCAAGGAGAAATCTAGGCAGGGAAATAAAGGCAAGAACAGAGCAGGTACAGAGCCTGGTTAAACGAGAATCAACATAAGAACAAATTTTTGAGAATGGTTTGCTAAGCTCCATCCCAGACTTACTATACCAGAATACCCTAGAGATGGGGCTCAAAACAGTGGATACACGTTCCCACGATAAGTTTCCTGCAGCCACTGTTACCATTAAATAATTATAATAATACATATTATAATATAATAATAATTAATATTTGGTCAAGAGAGAATGAGGATGATCCATGGTGGTAGCCTAAGAAACAGAGGGAAGGTTACCATTTAGAACACGTTCCAAAGAAGATACCGTAAGGACTGGATCATCTTAGGTCTTGAGGGTGAGAGGTGTTGCAAAGAAAACCTGTTGTTTACATTAACTCCTATCTCTAGTTTTCTAATATGAAATATTGGAAACGTGTAGATACTAAGTGGAAACTTTGAAGAGCTACATGAAGTAAGAGAATCAAATAAGATGCTTACAAAGAGCTACCAAAAAGAAGGAAAAAAAAATTCTCTAAAGCAGATTTTTTTCAACCCCAACACTATTTACATTTGGAGCCAGATAATTCTTTGCTATGGGGGGCCCTCCTGTGCATTTTAAGATTTTCCCCCCAAAATGTCCATATAACCCCCACTCCCCAACGTGTGGCAACTAAAAATATCCCCTTGATGGAAAAATTACCCCTGGTTGAGAACTACAGCTCCTAAGACATAGCTCTTCACCCTCAGATGTTGGAAAAATAAAAACATGACAAATCTAAAATTTCTTGAAATTTCAAACAAAAAACAGCCCTGGCCAGTGGTTCACTGTGGTGATAAAACATCGTGCAGTTGTTAGGAGCTTTAATATGAACAACTCAAATGTAAAGGAAAACTGAGGCCGGATGACAATGAGAGTTGTAGTTCTCCTTGAGAACTAGTAGCTGAAGTTCTCTCTGGAAACACTGAAAACTGTAGAGGCAGAATAAACTCACAGCTACCTTTTTACCCCTGGAAAAGACCGGATGACTGGCTTGGAAATGGTCCCCCTCGTTGTCATATCTTCATCTGTTAATATCTCAACTTGACTGCTTACTCTTTTCATATTTGCATTTAAATGGAAAACAAAATTCTGACATAGGTGGCTTACTGCAGGATTATATTTTTTCAACGTTTCCATGTTTTGATGTTGCTATACATGAACTGTTTAAGGAAAATGAAAGCTACTTTGTTATATAGTTAATACCCCCTCTAGGGCTGCAATGGTTTACCTCTGTAGGACCTCTGTCATACTTGTGGTGTAAGGTTGCTGTCTATTTTAAGAAAAAGACACAGCTTCTGAGGGTACTAAGCTCTCCCAGGAAGCCAGTTACACCTCTACAAATGAATTTACTCTGTTCATAAGATCCATAAAAGACATAAAATGTTTTATGCAGCTCAAGTCACAATGACTTGGATTAATAAAGGAAACAAAGTTTTACTACTTCGAGATTATTCTCAAGTGGCATATCACTAAAAAAAAAAAAAAAGGCAGCTAAGTATCATTATGGCTTAGGGAACTGTATTGTGTTTCTACAACTTTAAAAGTGCCAAATGAAATGTCACTACCATTGAGGATTTAGCTAGAGCAAACTTATATTCCCAGCACAGAGAGCCAAAATGCCCCTAAAGGTTTGCTTCCTGCAAATGCTCTCTCTAACTGCACATAAATAGAGAGGGAGCCGCTCCAGCAAGAGACTACTTAGACACATTCTTTTCTGGAACACGGTTGGCTTGTGCTCATGGCTTATTTTATATTTATATATAAAGATCAATACAAGTATAATCTTCCGACTGTTAGTCTACAAGCAATAGGATAAAGGGAAATTTTTATCAATGATGGATGTAAGACCCCAGTTTGTTGGCAACTCCAAGATTTTTACTCAGGAAGGGGATAGGGGAAAAAGGGCTGAAAGGGGCCAGTGGGGAAAGGAGAGTGGAATTACTTTAAGGCAGAGTTTGCTTAGCAAGCACACTTGGGTTTACATAGATTGGAAGTCAATTTGGAGTAGCTTAGAAGCGGACTTGATAGAAATCATGGGAGCGTTAACCTCCTTCCTCCGCCAGCAAAGGACTCCACGAACTTCCACTGCTCTGGATATAAGAGCACATGCAGGCGTTAACTCAGAGGCCTGCAGGTTTGGGTCCAGACCAGCCCAGGAAAGCAAGTATTGCCATAAAGAAAACATCACAATAAAATGAGTATCATAATAAAGCACGCCAAAGTAATTTTTTGGTTTCCCAGTGCCTATAATAGTTATGTTTATACTGTGCTGTACTCTTTTAGGTGTGCAATAACATTTTGTCTAAGCAAAAATGTACATGGCTTAATTTAAAAGCACACAAAAAGTGCTAACCCTCATCTGAGCTTGCATCCAGACCGAATCTTTTTCCTGGTGGAGGGTCTTGCCTTGATGTTGATGGCTGCTGAAGAATCGGGGGGGGGGGGGTGGCTGTGGCAATTTCTTTTAACGAGACCATCTGGCCTGCCACACTGACTGACTCTTCCTTTCATGAACGACTTCTCTATAGCGTGCCATGTTGTTGATAGCATTTTACTCGCAGAACTTCTTTCAAACTGGGAGACAATCCTCTTAAGCCCTGCTGCTGCTTATCAACCAAGTTGATGTGAGATTCTAAATCCCTGGTTGTCACGTCAACCATCTTCACAGCATTTTCACCAGGAGTAGATGCCATCGCAAAAAAAGCACTTTCTTGCTCGTCCATAAGAAGCGCTTCATCTATTACGTTTCTCATGAGATGGCAGCACTTTTTTCCCATGTTCAGGCTCCTCTTCTAATTCTAGTTCTCTTGTTATTTCCACCACATCCCCAGTGACTTCCTCCACTGAAGTCTTGAACACCTCAGAGTTGTCCATGAGTGTTAAAATCAACTTCTTCCAAATGCCTGTTAATTTTGACCTCTTCCCATGAATCAGCGATGTTCTTGATGGCATCTAGCATGCCCAGATCCAACTGTGGCAGTTGTAGCCTTATAAAATGCACTTCTTAAATAATAAGAAAGACTAGGGGCGCCTGGGTGGCTCAGTCGTTAAGCGTCTGCCTTCGGCTCAGGTCATGACCCCAGGGTCCTGGGATCGAGCCCCGCATCGGGCTCCCTGCTCCGCGGGAAGCCTGCTTCTCCCTCTCCCACTCCCCCCTGCTTGTGTTCCCTCTCTCGCTGTGTCTCTCTCTGTCAAATAAATAAATAAAATCTTTAAAAAATAAAAAAATAATAAGAAAGACTAAATGACATCCATTCTGCAGCCCTTGGATCAAGGAGTCATGTTAGCAGCCATGAAGACATTAATCAACATTCATCTCCATCAGAGCTTCTGGGGGACCAAGTCCATTGTCACTGAGTGGTAATATTTAGAAAGGAATCTTTTTATAAGCAATAAGTCTCAATAGTGAATTTTAAATATTCAGCAAACCAAGCTGTAAACAGATACACTGACATCTAAGCTTTGTTGCATTTCTAGAGCACAGACAGAGTAGATTTGGTCTAATTCTTAAGGACTCTAGGATTTTTGAAATGGTAACTGAGCATTGTCTGCAGCCTAAGGTTACCAGGTGCATTAACCCCTCACAAGAGTCAGCCTGTCCGATGAATGGATAAAGAAGATGTGGTATATATATACAATGGAATATTATGCAGCCATCAAAAGGAATGAGATCTTGCCATTTGCAACGACGTGGATGGAACTGGAGGGTATTATGTTGAGTGAAATAAGTCAAACAGAGAAAGACATGTATCATATGATCTCACTGATATGAGGAATTCTTAATCGCAGGAAACAAACTGAGTGTTGTTGGAGTGGGGGGTGGGGTGGGAGGGATGGGGGGACTGGGTGATAGACACTGGGGAGTGTATGTGCTCTGGTAAGCGCTGTGAATTGTGCAAGACTGTTGAATCTCAGATCTGTACCTCTGAAACAAATAATGCAATATATGTTAAGAAAAAAAAAAAAAAAGAAGAAGAAGAAGGTAGCGGGAGGGGAAGAATGAAGCGGGGGAAATCGGAGGGGTAGACGAACCATGAGAGACGATGGACTCTGAAAAACAAACAGGGTTCTAGAGGGGAGGGGGGTGGGAGGATGGGTTAGCCTGGTGGTGGGTATTTAGGAGGGCACATTCTGCATGGAGCACTGGGTGTTGTGCACAAACAATGAATCATGGAACACTTCATCTAAAACTAATGTTGTAATGTAAGGGGAATAACATAAGAATAAAAAAATTAAAAAAAAAAAAAAAAAAAAGAGTCAGCCTGTCCTTCAAAGCTTTGATGCCAGGCATTGACTTCTCCTCTCTCGCTATGGAAGTCATGGATAGCATCTTCTTCCCTTAGGAGGCTGTTTTGTCTACAACGCAAATCTGTTGTTTGGAGTAGCCACCTTCTTTATTTTAGCCAGCTTGCTGCAGCTTCCACATCAGCACTTGGCACTTCACCTTGCACTTACTTCTTTGTTAAACCTCAGGAACCAACTTCTACTAGCTTCAAACTGTTCTTCTGTACGTTCACAGAACTGAAGAGAGTTAGGGCCGTACTCTGGATCAGGCTTTGGTTTAAGGGAATGTTGTGGCTTGGTTGATCTTTTATCCAGACCACTGAAACATTCTTCATATGGGCAAAAAAGGCTGTTTCCCTTTCTTATCATTTGTGTGTTCACTGGAGTATTTTAAGATTTCCTTCATGGCTTTTTCCTTTGCATTCACAGCTTGGCTAATCGTTTGGTGCAAGAGGCCTAGATCTGGATCTATCTCGACTTTTGAACAAGGCCTCCTGACTAAGCTTAATCATTTCTAGCTTTTGACTTAAAGTGAGAGACATGTGATTCTTCCTTTCACTGGAATACTTACAGGCCCATGTAGGTTTGTTAATTGGCCTCATTTCAATATTGTTGTATCTCAGGAAATAAGGAGGCCCAGGAGAGGAAGATAGACAGGGGAAGAGAACACATAGGTGTGCATATTAAGTTTGCCATCTTACAGGGCTGCCACCCTAAAATTATAATAGTACCACCAAAGATCGCTGATAACCATAACAAGTAATGAAAAGTTTTGAAATATTGCAAGAATTACCAAAATGTGACACAGAAACACTAAATGAGCCAATGCAAATGCCAATACACTTGCTTGATACAGGGTTGCCACAAGCCAAGTTGTAAAACAAACAAAAAACAGTCTATGCAAAGCACAGTAAAATGAGATATGCCTGTATCAGGTTATTTATCCCAGTCATCTTTATATTAAAGTTTACAATTAATGTTAAATAGTTTTGAGTTTGAAATTATGATTTTAACCAGGTAACTAATCGTCTGACTTACTGTACTATTAATTTTGTATTTGATGTCAGCTAAAATTTACATTTACAGTTTTCTATAAAATGTTACCATTTGTTCTAAATGTAATCTTTTATTATGGGACTATCAAGGTCACTGCAAACATGGGGCCTGACCTCATAGGTCTCTCCTAGAGAAAAAGCTCTAGGTGCTAAGCACCTCAGGACACCCTGCCATGTAAAGTAGAACCATAATCAATGCTCAGAGATACACAAGACACAAATCCAATCAGTGATGGACTCTGAAGAAATAATGGTGAAGTAGAAAAGAAAGGAGGGAAGCACGTTCCATGAAGAACACCTTCCTTTGCCACCACAAAGGCACCATGGTAAGAGGTACCAAAAGAAGGCTGAAACGGGGGGAAAAAAAAGAGTAAATAACCCACCAAGCCACCTCCCTTCGTGAAGCACCAGACTGACAAGACCAGTGTAGCAAGAGAGACAGACTAGCTTAGAAGATCTCATTTCACAAAAGTGATGGGAGTCATCGTGTGGAGAATGAGGCAGCAACTCAGTCCTCCAGATGAGACATGGTGGGGACAGGACCCCTGCTGTAAGGATGGTGACACACACTCAAGGAGGGAGTTGGGAGGAACAGTCCCAAGGACCAATAATAGATGGGACATGGGGACTTTAAGGCAGAGAGATTTCTGGCTCAAGAACTTGTAGATGGCAGTACTCTTCTGAGATAGGGTGGCTTGGACAGAGGATCACTGGGGGGAGGCAACTCTTAACTTGTGACACCTTGAATTTGAGTCTCCACCTATTAAAACTCCTCCCAGGAAGTATCCCTCCCTCAGCAAGTCAACTGTGTGTGGAACCTCACCATGCTGTTTTGATACGCTGGCCTGTCAACTCCGATCCCTTTATTTTAAACTGGGCTCTTGAAGGAGATGTAATGAATTTCGTGGCCCTGCCTAAAATAACAAGTTCATCCCCCAAATCACTGCTCTGTAAAATCGGACATAAAGGGCAATATTCAGAAATGGGCTTTTCAAAAGGCCAAAGTAATAGGGTGGCTCAACATAAAATAATGCCGTGGTGCCAGGATAAAAGGAAGGGGGGAAAACCGCATAGTTAATAATCTGCGGAAGTTGTAAAGGAGAATTGCATGTGTCTATACTTGCCTTTGTAGTTTTGACTTTATTGCCACTGCTACAGGACCAACCTGAGTAATCTGGCAGCACTTTGCAATCCTCTCCTTCCAAGCAAGGATTCATGTGACACCACCATTTCTGAATCACGATGGAAGCTGTAAGACAAAGGCCACATAATGTTTGTGATAGTTGCTTCCTCCGACTATGGACAACATAAAGCTCATACGGATCAATATACTGACTTCAAAGATTGTTAGTAAGAACTATTTCACAGTAAGTAAATTTAAAGAATTATGCTTAGGTAAGAGTAAGATACCAAGCTTTGCAGCATGCCTGGATTTTTTTTTTTTCCAATGACCTTCGACTAGTTATTTAACTCCTCTTGGCCTCAATTTCTTCATCTGTAAATTGGGGATAATAATAGAAGCTCGCCACAGATGTCAAGAGGATAGAGCTAATCCATATCAAACTCTCTGCTAACCAGGGGCCAGGCACTAGGTTGTCAGAAAATGTTAGCTATTGCTGTGGTCATCATTTTGTAGGCTCCAATGGTGGACGCAAACCTGGCCAAGTTGTTACATTTGATGCTCTCTGTTGTCGGAGCACAACCCAAAACAGTCAGCATTTCCATCACAGAGTCATTCACCTCTCCATGCCGTTCCAGCAAGTGGTGAGTAACACCTTGAATTCAACAACCAGAAGCCAAGTGAAGGTGGAAGAGCGTGGCACTCCCTCACTTGCCCACATTCTAGACTCGCAATCTCACCTGTGAATGCCCTCTCCCCCTTATACCATCATCTCTGCTGACATCTGCCAATAAGATGAGGAAGCAGAAAATTCTCTGGGTTTGGAGGCAGATGAAGACACGTTAAGGAAACTCTATCAACTTGCCTGGGTATTCCCACAGAGTCAAAGGACAAAGGGATTGTGATTCAGTGTCTATGGTGAGCTCACAAATGGTATAGATCAGAGATCTGGGGCTGCGGGTAGGTGTGTAGGTTAAGGGGGGAGGGTTGTTGAGCCCTGTTTTTCTGTTGAAATAACAGCACTTTGGTTAAAAAAAAATATCCCAATGGATTTGATTCCAACTACCATTGCCTACCATTTCAAACAAGTCTTGAGAATTCCTAATAGCTATTTTTTCTGGAGGGTCAGGCACCCTGCTAAATGTATTTCCTGCATTTTGTAGAGGAGAGAAAACTGAGGCCCTTTGACAGAGGCATTCTAATGCTAGAGCCCCTTCTTCAACCCTTAAAGTCACACCCCTCCCTCACACCAGAGATCTGTAGGAGAAACAACTAGAGGTGTAGAGACAGTAACAAAAGCAGGGAACATAGCAGGCTCATGCATTAAAAACTCTGCTCCTGGGCACCTGGGTGGCTCAGTCGTTAAGTGTCTGCCTTCGGCTCAGGTCATGATCTCAGGGTCCTGGGATAGAGCCCCGCATCGGGCTCCTGGCTCCACGGGAAGCCTGCTTCTCCCTCTCCCACTCCCCCTGATTGTGTTCCCTCTTTCACTGTGTCTCTCTGTCAGAAAATAAATAAAAAATCTAAAAAAAATAAAATAAAAAATAAAAACTCTGCTCCTGTCAGGCCAATGCAATATGGCATGGTTAGGGCGCTGGAACATTTCATTATCAGCTGAAGTGGCTAGACATTTTGTCTACTCCCCATGAAAACCACCGTTCCTGATTCCGGCCAAATACTGTGCTTCTATCTGATAAACCAATCATACCTCAATGAGTTAGAACTGTGATCTAGAAGAACCATAAGCTATTTAAGTCAGAAGGTGCCAGCACTGAGGAGAAAGGAATATAGCTAAATGGGTTATTTATTTTGTCAGAGAGTGCCACTGAACTTGAGCAGATGGATGGAGACAGCTGGACGAAGTCTGAGAAAGCCGTATCCTTTTCAGTCACTGATATTACAACAATCCCACCTCAACACTGTATGGAGCTTTGTTATTTTCAAGGCCCTTTTACATACTGTTCCTCTTTCGATTATCTCAACAACCTTCAGAAGCAGATGGCCAGAAATAAAAACGAGAGCCTTCCACAAAGTGAGTAAAATGAGGGAGGAGGTACTAGAATCAACTTCTTTTTCTGCATCTACAAGTCTTTCTGCTGTACCACAACTTATAATAATAGTTAGATTAACATATGCTACGTAGAGTTTGACCAGATTCAAAGTCCTTCATTATCTTCTGAATACCTTAGGCCAATCCCAAGTAGATATAAAGATAAATAAGACATGGTTCCCAACCCTCAATTTAAAATTCCATCTGCAGGACTGTGGAAGTTATATAAATGTTGACAGAGCTTAAGTTATATTTACACAGAGTTACAGCTGAATTTAAAATACTTTTTTTTTTTTTATCTTTAAAACCGTTCCCTTAGGCAGATTCTCTGCCACTCAGCCGTGGGCACCTATGTACTCTTGACAGGGGCCAGGGCTACATGGAGGATTCCACAGAAGCCCAGGCAGCTGACAAGTGATCTGCCCCAGTGAAGGCACGCAGTGCATTGGGTCAGGGAGTGACCTACCTGGAAGCCAGGAGACCCAGTTGAGCAAGGTGGGTGGTCTGAGAAGCAACCTTCAACGGCTCTCAATGCCAACTCCAGATTAGACTGGATTCCCCAAGGGGTAGGGAGCCATGGAAAGTTTCTAAACAAGGGGGTGCAGTAAGGCAGGGAAAACTGTGTGCCTGGGAAAGCTAGTCTGACAGGGGATAGTAAACAATTTGGGACAGAAAGGACTCTGAAGGAGACCACTTGAGGTATAAAGTGAGAAATCTGGGAATAAATTCCCTACAGAGGAAATCATCTGATTCATTCTATGTCAACTTCACAGCAAAGAAATGCTAATACTTCCTCACTGGCCTCATGGGGTCCTAAGATCATTCTGATGCCAAATCTAGAAGAGGAGCTTGAGGGGAAAAAAAGAGTCAGGCATTCATCACCAAAAACTGTGCCAATTCTTAACTACAGAAAAGTTAAAAGACTTTCACAGTATTTTGTTTAAGGCTTTCAATTTATTTAAACAAAAGAAGAAAGCATGTATGATCAAGCTCTTGCAGAATTATTTACCAGTTTTCTTTCATTTAACTGGAAAATATGGAGTGATTTTTCTGAAGACAGAATCACAATAGGTTCCTTAAAAGAGCAACCTATCTTGAAATTTAAAATATTTCTATTTGCCAAAAAAAAAAAATCATTTTCATATTTGAGTGAAGAATACATTTAAGAGGGGCCCTCCAAGTGTTAGAGACGTACTTACTTAACAGCAAATGTTCTTTCAGAAAAGAAAGTCTTAATGAGCGCCACCCTAGTAGCCATAATAAAAGTTTCAGGGCGCCCTGGGTGGCTCAGTTGGTTAAGCGACTGCCTTCGGCTCAGGTCATGATCCTGGAGTCCCTGGATCGAGTCCCGCATTGGGCTCCCTGCTCGGCAGGGGGTCTGCTTCTCCCTCTGACCCTCCCCCCTCTCATGTCCTCTCTCTTATTCTCTAATAAATAAATAAAATCTTTAAAAAAATAAAATAAAAAATAAAAATAAATAAATAAAAGTTTCAAATTCCTTTATGCGTTAAAGACTGACTAAGGAACTCATAGCAAGGGTGAGAACCAACTGAGGGTTTCACCCACCAGTGAATAAGGTGATTAAAAAGCTCAGAAGTTCCAGTGTTGAATGCCTACTGAGCTGGGCTTTGAGCTGAGACAAAGGATGCAGAAGTAGGATTTTATTAAAGTAACTCTTGAGAACATCTGCCCACTTAACTGAGCCTTGTCTCCATAGGAAAATAAGTTTGTAGGAGGTATCTATTTTATCCTGTTCAAAATACCATAATATACTAGAGATGAGAAAGTGTCTTGTCACTTCTATTTTTAAAATAAAATTCTTTAGAAAGCCCCATGCCTCCCTGACTTAGGAAAATACAAAACATCCCTATCTTCAAGCTGCCAACCTGTAATGAATTTCTAGTTTTATGCAGAAAGAAAGAAGAAAAAAAAAACAGTGAAACTCTGGTTTTATGGTAGTGACTAGTGTTTTCTGTGATGTTGTTTTCTAGGTGAAAATGTAATGGGACCAATTAGCTATCTTGCTCTTGGTGCATTTTCTGTACTCTCTGTTGTATAAAATAGATGGAGATTTTTTTTCTATCCCTTGTCCCAATTAAACATTATTCCATGAAATAAAACACAAGATGTATTCATATAGCTATTTCTATAAACCCACCTTCGAGTAAGACCAACACCAGGCTCACTTCTCAGGAGTTGGTCTTTCATTTTTTTGACCTCGTTTCATTGCATTTACAGAGTTAAGGCTTTTCTAAAGAAAAGCATATTTTTACACTGAAGGTACAGACCGAAAGATGAACACATCTTCCTAGAATATATACAGTCTTAAAAATGGAAACAATCACAAAAATATGCTCTGAGATTTTCAGATAATTTAGCTGATTTGCTCTTAACAGTGTTCTTTCAAGATTTTCTTTGCCAATTAACATTAAAGAAAGGTTTATTAACTTTAAGCCATTTGTTAACTTTAAATAAAGATAGGCCAGGGGTGGGGGGAGGAAGGAGACCTGCTAATTTTTGTTATTTCAAGAAAAGAAGCCATTCCAACCTGACCCAGGTATCATGCAAAGAAGTAGTCCTGAGAACATGATTTTTTGTTAAAGGAACATTTTACTTGTTCACACACTTCACACATAACAAGGTATTGTTATTTCTACAGAGTACTGAGTGAGGCTGTGGATAAATAGGTACAGAATGATCTTTTGTGATTTAGGTTTGTCTTTTCCACAAAGTGTGAGCTCACACAAGTACAACCCTCCCCAGCCATGACCTGCCCGTAAGGCAGAGTTTCTTGACCTTAGCACTTTAGAGGCTGGGTAATTCTTGACTGTAGGAGTCTATCCTGCACCTTATACCATAGTGACCAGCATCTTAAGCCTCTTCCCTTTAGATGCCAGTAGCACCCTCTCCCCCAGTTTAACACCCCGAAGTGGTTCCAGACATTGTCAAATATCCCTAGGGTTGCCAAAATCACCCCTGGTTAAGAAACATTAATCAGGGTGCCTGGGGGGCTCAGTTGGTTAGGCGTCTGCCTTTGGCTCGGGTCATGATCTCAGGGTCCTGGGATCGAGCCCCGCAT